TTAAAGATCAAAATGAAATCAGCAACAATGTCATTCTTAAAAGGTTTAAATATCATTCTTGGGTATCAACATCAACATCAAATCAGCAGCAAAGTTTTTCAACCAAAAATTTAAAGGTTTAAACATCAAAACGAACCGGTAGTATAAACCAAAAGTAGACTAACAATGTCATGCTTAAAATTCTATAAAAGAAGAAACATAAGTTCCATAAGCATAAGTTCAAACAGTCTAGAAAAGTGTAAGTTTCATTCTTGTATAATTTTTAGGTAAAAGTTTGGGACGTCAATCTTCGTTCTTGGTGATTGTCGTGTCTTCGGAGATAATATCTTTGAAGCTTTCCGTTTTTCCATAGACAACACATTTGGCGTTGGTTTATGTTGTTGGTTTATGTTGTCTTTTGGGACGAACGACATCAACATTTTCGACGATGTTTTTTTATTTCATTTTTCGTGTTTGTACCATTGCTTTTATCTGAAAAAAAAATTTATTTCATATTTTAGTAGTATATCAGAAAACATATATTAGAGGTAATATATTCGAAATAATTGGTAGATATCAGAGTTATATTAGAAGTAAATCAATTTCATATCAAGCATATATCAAACATATATCACATATATATCAATAGTATATATGACAATCATAGTTATATCAGAAGTCAATCAGTTCTATATCACCTATAGTAGTAGATATCATAGTTATATCAGAAGTAAATCAATTTCATATCATATGTATATCAAATATATATCACATATATATTAGGAGTATATCTGTCAATCATAGTTATATAAGTAAATCAATAGTATATCAAAAGTCAATTAGTTGTATATCACCTACAGTAGTATATATCATAGTTATATCAGAAGTAAATCAATTCCACATCATATATATATGAAACATATATCACATATATATCAGGAGCATATATGTCAATCATAGTTATATCATAAGTAAATCAATAGTATATGAGAAGTCAATCAATTCTATGTCACCTATAGTAGTAGATATCATAGTTATATCAGAAGTAAATCAATTTCATACCATATGTATGTCAAACATATATTACATATATATTATGAGTATATCTGTTAATCATTAATATATCAGAAGTCAATCAGAAGTAATTTATTGTTGGTTCGAGCCAGCAGGATTTATTTGTAATTTAGAATGTGGGTCTCTGTTAAAAAAAATGCTATATTTGAAAAACCTAAACCTTGTTGCTATTTTGCTAACTTTTTTTTGCCATATCTCAAGTTGCTCCTTTTATTTATTTATATTTATCTAATTCTTTTTTTCTTTATTCATGATTTTCCTATATTTTTTTCCTATTAAAATTTTCTTGAGTTGTGAAGAGGAAGAAAATCATAAATTATTTCAATTTTAAAAAATGAAAAAAAGAAAAATGATACATTTTGTAATTAAAAAAAAAGAATAATAAGAGAATGTATAAGTTTGTGGGAAATTTAAAACCTTTGTGCTACCACTTACTAATCTAAATCTATCAAAAAAATTCTTTTCAATTATTTGTCGTCTTTTTAGTCTAATAATTGTCATCAATTTTTACCTCTAAGGTACTTTACATCATATACTGTGCGTTTGATTATTTGAGGTTATTTTAAATATAACCGTCAGTAAAAACTTTGATTATGACATAAAATTCTCATCTTTCAACTACTTTTATACGTATAATTATGATCATTATTATATTATGTTTTAAATTTTATTAATGTTATTGTATATTTAATTTGGATTATAAATAGAGATACTATTAATGGATTATCATCTTGTTGAATAAAAGTAATAATAGTTTTGATAGATATTTTATATAATCAATTTAGAAAAACTTATTGACAAATCTTGGTATAAGAACAAATGGTTGCTTGTCTCAAAATCATATTACTTACTTATAAATTAGTATCATTAAAAAAAAGATGAGGATGGGAGACTAAATATCCCATCTCTGGAGAATAAGCGATTTGTTTTACCTAAAAAAACTTTCTATTCTAAATCATACTTTAAAAAATAACCATTATAATATATGAACTAAAGAATAATTATAATATGTGTATATATTCTTCAAAACGGTACGTAGGAGATGTTCTTTTTTGTTTCTTTTTTCTTGAGGACACGGCAGGTAGGAGATTTATTTTGAGAGGGTAGAGTTCTAAGATAATAATTATTATTGTTATTATTTTTCGAGAATCAGTTTTTATTTTTTGAGATGAACTTGAGAATCAGTTTTGAAAAATGGAAATAAAATAATTTAAATAATATTGTGACCATTATTGAGAATATAACCTCAACGTCTAGACTCTCAATCTTGATGTGAATACACTGGAACCCAACTATAAATGGTTGGAAATATTTTATATATTAAAAAAAAAAAGAAGGTTGGAAATAAATGCATATTTCGCCTTTAATTTTAAAAATAATACAAAAACACAATCGAACTCACTGCACTGTCTTCTTACAGAGAGAGAAATAGAGCTTCCAGAAACAACCCTAGAATTCTCTCTCGACGTTCTCCGGAGTCGGAGAAGGCACTCTCGTCCTTCGGTTCTACCCTCCGATTAATTTCTCTGCGCTAGGGTTGCATCCACGACCTCCACAATGGTCTGTGTTTCCTTATCTTCTGTTGTTGTTAATTTAATTGTTATATCCCTTCTCCATTTTCGTTTTCACAGTGAAAGGTTATTATTGTTCAATTTTTGCCGATTTCTGGTCCTGAGGCGAGGATTTATGTTAACTGCATTGTTTTCTCTATCCTTTTTGTCAACTGAAATGTTCTCCACTTCATCTCTGTGTTAAACTCACATCACCAAGAAATTCTGATGAAGTCTCGTTTCTCCAGTTGCATGAAATTTTAGATTTAAGATTTTATTTCCTAACTGCTGATTTTACCGGTTGTGGTTGGGGTTTGATGCATGAAGTACCCATCTTACGTACTTTTCTAAGTGATTGCTGTATGCTTGGATTTTTTGTTGACGTGCTCAGTCTTCTGCTTGGACTTTTATGCGTACAACAATACACCCAAGATGTGTAAACACCATTCTATAATATAATTTTGCCTGTCTTCGTTCTCGACAGCATAAACTGAGCAGAGGCCACCGAGATAAACTCCAGCAGTTTATTGCTATAACTGGTGCAAGGTACATTAATAAACTTCTGCTATCTTTCCTCTGAGTTAATTACTGAAATTTCTTGCCACGTTTGAATTTATGGCATCAAGATCTTGTGTGTATGCGGTTGCTTCCCTTTTTCTAAGGGAAGTCCACCTTATGTATGGAACGAGAAGTCATTTATCATAACATCGACTGACATGGACTCGAGGAAGATTGAGAAACTGTAGAAGTAGAGTAGGATTATGGTATACATTATTTCGTTTCATCCTCTTTCATAAGAATTAAAATTCACTTTGAATAAGAATCAGATCTATTAGTTTACTGGGATTTGAATTATCTCTCATGTTATTGGCTACCAATAATTTGTTGGGCCTGGTTGAATCCACAAGTTCAAATGCTGTAAACCCCAAAGCTACTGAAAGATGCTTCATTTGTTAGTGAGGTATGACTAATGAAATTGAGTTTGTCTCTTATTTTCATTGATTTTGATACTTTATTGATAATTCAGTGAAAAAGTTGCTCATCAGGCCCTGAAGGCTAGTGATTGGCATCTTGAAGGAGCTTTTGATGTATTTTACAGTCAGCCCCAAATTAAAGCATTCACCGATTCTAGACATTTGGAAGAGCTTTATAACAGATATAAAGGCAAGCTTTACATTTGTTTGTCATTATTAGATTTCTTTTCTTTCTGTGAACTTGTAAAGAGTTGTGAAACCATTCTGATAAGATTTCATTACTTTCTGTCAGTATTAAAGAAACACTGTCGAATGTGTAGCTTACCATGTTCTCTTTCCTATTACTTGTAGAGAGGCTTAGGTAGGGGTGAAATGAATGCTACATGCAAATTCTTACAGAAACATTAGCTTTTGTTTTATATATCGTAGCTTACCATGTTTTCTCTTTCCTATTCAATGGTTGATGTATAAATAATGAAATACATCAAATTAATTTTTGGGAGTTGCTGAACAGGAAAGTATCTTGCAAATATTCCTTCTAACCAGTTCGTTGATGATCTTTAGTTTGTTGTGGTGATATTTTACTAGGATTATAGTTTTTTTGATCAATTAATTATATTGTACTGTATCTTTATATTGTCTGATTACTCACTGATGACCGAACACCTTAACATGGTTAGCAGATCAATATGTCGATATGATATTGGCTGATGGTATCTCACTGCTCTGCAATGATCTTCAGGTAGGTGATTTATGCATCCAATTATTTTTTATATGCTCAATGTGTTGATGAATTTAAATATTACTACTTAATTTTAACTGTGCAGTTCCATTTTTTTCTGCCTATTGAAATGACACAACATAGATTTTTTGCAGGTGGATCCTCAAGATATTGTTATGGTACGCTTTTCAAAAATAATTGTTGCTGCAAAAGGCATTCATATGTAAATTAAATTGTTACTTTATGCTATCTATCTCATTTTAGAGTAATCTAGATTAGACATGCATTCATTCCTTTTATTGGGGACTAAATTTTAGTTCTCTTTGAAACTTCACTCTTGTCAAGCTTCATCATGGGGAAGATGTCCGAGATTGGCTAGCAACATTTTCATTTTTCCCTTTTATAATTTAGTAGACAGATAGGTGGGCGTTGACATAAATAACCTCAATTCAAGGCCCCTTCAAGTGCTTCATTCACCTTTGGCAAAAGAAGCTGGATGTCTTGATTTCACATTATCATTAAACACTGCATATTTAATAGAACGATTATGGCCTTATCTATTTGAAAGGTGTAGATATAGTTGATCTTTTTGACATCTGAATTTTAAGTCTTTTCTATTTTAAATACTGATTTTGTGTATGCATCTAATTAATAGCCTTTTTTTTAATATCTTGTTACAATTACCTGCAGTTGGTTGTTTCTTGGCATATGAAGGCAAACACAATGTGTGAGTTTTCCAAACAGGAGTTTATAGGTGGATTACAAGCACTAGGGTAACTAATTGTTTGCAGTTTTCTTCTTCAGACGAGAACTATGTTCGTGGGGTCAGAATTATTCTTGTCATAATATCAATATTCAATTTAATGGCAGGATAGATTCTCTGGAGAGGTTCCGAGAAAGGATACCATATATGCGCTCCGAGTTGAAAGATGATCGTATGTATATCCTTTTGTTTATTATATCATGTTCTAACTTATACTTTGCCTTGCGTATAATTGAAAACAAAAATTCTCGGTGGTATTGTCTTGCTAATTTGTTTTTGTTGATTTCATGTCTGTCCAGAAAAGTTCCGTGAGATTTACAACTTCGCATTTGGTTGGGCAAAAGAAAAGGTACTCATGGTTGGCATGAATATTTCAAATGGAGTTATTTACAGCTGTCTTTCTCTCTTCAGTGGCATGTGCGTTAAATACCAGTATGTCTGCCTAATGTATGAACTTCTAAATTGGACATATGTGTTTTAGGGGCAAAAATCTTTAGCATTGGACACTGCAATTGGAATGTGGCAGTTACTATTTGCTGAAAAGCAATGGCCCTTGGTTGACCACTGGTGTCAGTTCTTGCAGGTAATGGTGCTAATCTGTGTATTTGAAACTGACCGAACTTCTGTCATGTGTGGTGATAAGCTTTCTGTTGGTATGAGTCGTATGACCTCTGAAATTTGACTCAAGGAGCTTATTTATCTTATTGATGCAAAAGAGATAATGCTGTTGACATTTTATCCAGTAGCGATCTATCTTGAACATTTTTATATAAGGTGAGTGCAACCCAAAGGATCTTTCCTGCCCAAAAGTTGGCCAGTAGTTTTCAAGGTTTTCTTTTTGCTGAGGAGTGGGAAAAAAATGCACATTATTGTCGTAGAGATGGAATGTCTAGCATTTTCTACTCAACCAAAAAAAATTTAGAACTTGAATTGTCTGTTACAAATTGCAAGTCAGAGTTGCTCTTCGGTCTCCTAATAAATAGTACATTGTCAAATAATTTATTTGTTCTACTTTATACTTAATCTTTCTTGATTCAGGCTCGGCACAATAAAGCTATTTCTAGGGACACATGGTCTCAACTTCTGGAGTTTGCAAGGGTAAGAATGAAACCTTAAACTAAATGTTCAGGTCCCTATGAGTTTTATCATTATTTTTATTATTTATATTTTAGTCCATGGAATTTCAAAATGTGTATTTTTAGTCCTATCTATTTTGGCCCTTCCATTGTTTTGCCTCCTGTCACCCGAGAAAGTTTGCAGGGGTAGTTCGGGGCAATGGTGTGGGGAGCATAAAATTTAGATACTTTCATTTTGTTGTTGTGTTGCATGCTTCTTGTTGATGCCATGCATTTATTGTGCTAATTTCTTTCTTCTCTGCCTCGATTTTTAGACTGTGGGGCCTACACTATCAAATTATGATGCTGAAGGTGCTTGGCCATACCTCATCGATGAATTTGTTGAATACCTGAACGAGAATGGCATAATCCAGTGGTCAGCCGAATGATTTGAGTCAAATAAGATGATATGATTTGAGTCAAATAAGATGATATGCTACTGCGCAATTGGTCTGGGATTATTCGTATTTATCTTGGTGTGATTTAAATACCCTCTGGTTGAATTCATTGGGGAAATAAGATATAAGAGGGGGAAGAAGGCGAGTGACTGACATCCGAGTGAAGACATTTTATTTATGTTGGATTTGGTGCATCATCTATATATTATTGAGTGAAAAAGTGAATTTTTATAGTAATAATACTGTGAACGCTCACTCTCTTCCCTGTTTTGAGTTTTATTTCTGGTATGCCTTGCTGCTTGTTATTTTGACATGAAATAATTTGTTGTTTCCGGTTCAGTCAACTTCAATCTTGTTAGCTAATGCTGGGATCTCAACTTAGACTATTGCATACTTGTGTAGTGTTCCTAACACCTTCACTCTCCTCTTCCCCTGTTGAGATCGTAGGATATGCCAAGATTTACGCCCATAAATAACCACACCAGCTTCTTAGGCAGGTTCCATTTTTAGAAACTTATAGGTTGTAGTCTTGCCAGGTAATGGAAGGTTTGGCACTGAAAGTGCCACTCTATTCTTGTCTAATTCACCTCATCAACATTTTATTAGAAATGTCTGCCTACGATGGTTTACTTCGGCAAAAGACTTTTTGACCTGCTCATCAAACTGCCTCCTACATGTTTGTGTGAATTGTGATCCAACTTTTTCTCCACAAGTCACGATACAAGAAATTATAACCGTGCTTGCAAGAGTAGCACTCGGCAATTCGGTATTTTAATTTTTAGGGGTGAGACTAAATTTTAGTAAGGGGGACAAAAATTCTGAAAAATTTTAGAAAGATAAAAGGTGGGTGTAACTATAAGAGACAAGTTAGGAAGAGAGAGAGTGGCAAAAAATCAGGTATTGTACTTCTTCCAAAATCTTATCCCATCTACTATTTCCAAAGTTACTTTTACCCAAACGTGGGGTGAGGGTTTGAACTCGTGACCTTGGTATAGTGAAAATAATATTATTTTAACAATGATAAAAATGCTTTTGAAATTACTTGTAACTCATACTAATCAAAGTTTAATTTGAGATTAAACTATAACCTGGTCAATTCCAAGCAAAATCCATGGTGCCACTTCGCATCGAAAATTCTGCTCTGTTTGTAGCGAACTCCATCCTGTTCAGTCTATTCTATTTCTCAAATCTGCTCTATTTGATCTTTGCGCTTACTCCATGATTCAAAGATCAATTTCCGCAAGAACCACAACTGTGAGCTTTCTCTCTCATTCGCTCTCCCGCCATGCAACTAGTTTTCTTCTTTGGTTTCTGTTAAGGACTACGGGAAAAAATACACAACCCTGAAAACATTACAACTTGAATTGTATGTTACAAATCGTAAATCAGAGTTGCTTGTTCCGTCTTCTATTCTCAAGTAATATATTTGATTTATTTCATATTTTAATATTTCTTGATTCAGGCTCAGCAGTCAGCATGATAAAGCTATTTCTAGGGACACATTGACATGGTCTCAACTCTCAACCACTGGAGTTTGCAAGGGTAAGAAATGAAGTATTAAACAAAACTTATCTTTGCCCCACAACTTGCATTTGCACTTATTTTCATTATTCCCAAGAAAATTTGCAATGCCATTTTGTTGGTTTGTTGCATGCTGCTTGTGCTAATTCGTTTCTTCATTTTTAGAGTTTTGAATCTAGACTATGAAATTATGATGAAAATTTGCAACAAAACTAAGATTACAACCCTCTTCCACGATTTAGACATTGTATGACAGTGCCAATTTTAAGTTGAGAGTTGAGATAAAATTATAAAATGGAAGATGGAAGCAGGAAGTTCCGCATTTCATTAGAATAGCAGCAGCAGCAGCAGCAGCTTATTTTTATCAGAAGGAGAGGGAGTAACGACTGTGGTGAATTCCAAACCCATTAATTTCATACATAGACTCAGCAACAACAACGCTGGGTACAAATGCATTTATCACCAGAGCAAAATCCGCCATCCCACGACTCATTTTGATAGCAAACTCTAGCACAATCATCAGCCAAATTACACTTTCCCTTAAACGTTGTGCTCTCTCTGTAGCAAGTCAATGCTTCCGTCTGCACCACCATCCATCCTGTAACACAAACAAAATAAAACCTTTCTTAGTTCTTTTCTTTATAACAATATCAATCAGTCAAATCAGCAGGATCAAGTACCAGAAGCGAGGGCTATGAAGATGAGCGCCACAACTGTGAGCTTTTTTAATCCTTCTCCCGCCATCACTTTCTTCCTTCCTTCCATACACTTGAATTTGAATACTTGGGTGTCGTGTCAATACCCCATTTTATATTCAGTGAAACACCTCATTTCTTTAACGTTTTCTTGTAAATCTCGCGATTAAAAGGAATGAACGGCCACGCTGTAGCTTTCATAACAGAATAAAAATAATCATATGCGTTCCTGTTACCTACTCAATTTGCAGCCCCACGGTTAGGACGTGACAAAACCTTCTTTTTCGGGGAAAAAAACATTCAAATCTTTGTGGGCCATTCTTGATTTCAAAGGAAAATCCTTATATCTACGCTAAATGCTATCCTTTGGTATTTATTTGGTCCATAAATTTTAAAAATGTTAACTTACGTGACTTTGATCTTATTTGTTTCTAGTTGTTGCGGTCAAGATATAAAAACAAAGCCAAAAGTGACCGAGAAAGTAAGCCTCAGCTGAGACTCAGCTTATCTTGTTGCTCGGAGGAGAAAAGATCATTTACGAACACAAGGGAAATCATCACGTTCCACGATACGAAGGTGAGAAACAGAAAAGGGTGCAAACTTTTCCTATTAAACCGAAAGAACTTGAGAATTTGAATTGTCTGTTTGAAGGTGAAAGTCACAGTTCTTCTAATGATACTATTCTCATAGTTTAGTTTCTTTGATCAAATTATATGATATGCTAAATTAAAGTGACGCAACACATCAGATAAGTAGATCCATTAACTGAGAACACCCTATAAATCAAATATCATCCATTTTTTTAAGTTAAAAAAATAGAGGTGGAAGTTGAGACGAGCTCGATTGAATTATTCTCATTTTTGTAAATATCAATTCACTAACATAAACATTCGACATCGCAACAATCTTCTCGAAGTTGTTATTCATTTAGCATTACATGTACTTGGCACTTGAATTTTATAAAATCTTATTTTTACTTTTTAGACTATAAAGGGTATTTATTTTTCATCCTAACTATTAACGCTGGTCAATAGTTTATTAATAAGAAGATTTTTTTTAGTACAACAATTTGGGGATACGAGGATCGACCTCGAAGGAAGTAATACATATCAATTACCGGCATTTTAATAAGAAGATTGCTATATAGAATAATATTTTTTGTAAGGAGACCGGTTGATAGAATGTTCACAAGATAGTTTATTGGGTAAAATTTAAATGAGGTGACTAAACCTCTAACATCTTCCAAAGGTGTCGAGAAAGATAATCTCACCTAAAATTGTAGCAAGGAGGAGAACTGGATCATTGACAAATATTAAGAAAATCAACAAGTCGAAGAAGGTAAAAGGAGTATTTAATTGATCATTATAATAGCAAGTAATTTGTATATTTTTTTAATGTAAGTTCAATATACGGCATTCCTCCCCTTGATTACTTTTCATAATCTGCATAAAAGGTATGAGAATGAAGTTTTTGAGAGACATTTATAAACAAGTCAGATATGAATTATGTTTGGGAGATACCAAGTTGAGAAACAAAATATATTAATTTAGCGTAAGGTAAGGTGATGTGTTTTATTGCAACAATCTGGAATATGTTTTGTTGTGGCTCATAATTTCCAAACTTCAAATGGTGAAGAACAGAACATGAAGAAAAGAAAAGGAGAGGGATGAAGAGACCCTTGACAATTTGTGATGTTCCACAAAATTCTTAAACATGGCAGTAGTCTAAACCTGTGGTAGTATAGTACTCACTTGTTGGCTGCCACCAACGACATGTGCTCTATGAGGTCCAGCACTCGGTTGCTGTTCAGACGAGTTCAATAACAGTCATATACCAAAACAAAATGGTACAGTTCAGCCATTTATTTCTAATTACTGCGAGAGAGAGAGTGTACCTGTATCCCCACTCGTTGTCGTACCAGGAGACGAGCTTCATGAAGGAGTCGCTAAGACCTATTCCAGCCTTTGCATCGAATATACTTGACCTGGAGTAAGTGAAAATGCAATTAACTATTCTATTCATCATCCATAGCTTGTGAGCAGAGCAGACTGTAATACCTTGAATCACCGATGAAATCATTGGAGACGACATCCTCGTCTGTGTAACCAAGAATACCCTTGAGTGGACCTTCTGAGGCATACCTTTAGGTTGGTAACAAACGTAGATCAGTTCATGATAAACTTGAAATAATGCAGGTAACAATAGTATGGTAGTTCGTTTACTTGACTGCAGCTTTGACATCTTCATAAGAAGCACTCTTCTCTAGCCTACAAGTCAAGTCCACAACAGATACATTAGCTGTTGGAACACGAAATGCCATTCCAGTAAGTTTTCCGTTGAGCTCAGGAAGAACTTTTCCCACAGCCTGCAGTTCACGAATCATACAGAAAACATTGAAACTAATCAGAAATCTTTAGTAGTTGTTTAATTTCATATACCACGTAGCCATCACAAGGCTCTTCTTTCTACCACAAACCTTTGCAGCTCCGGTAGAACTCGGGATGATATTTTGTCCAGCTCCACGACCCCCACGCCAATCCTTCATTGAGGGACCATCAACAGTCTTTTGAGTAGCTGGAGAAAGAAAAGGTAATTATCATCCATGATTACTCATTTCCTTGCCTTTTTTTTTGTTTTTTCTTGGGTGGACACAAGCAGAACAGGAAAAGGAGAGAGAGACCTGTAGTTGCATGCACAGTTGTCATCAAACCTTCTGCGATACCGAAAACCTCATGAACCACCTGCATGTCATATTTTCATAGAGCCCAATTCTTTTTAGATATTAATTAAATTTATTTAGTAAAATGCCTAAACAACTGGGATTTACACACCTTGGCAAGTGGTGCAAGGCAGTTCGTGGTACAACTTGCATTGGAAACGATATCCATGCTTGGATCATATGACTTCTCATTAACTCCAACAACGAACATAGGTGCATCAGCTGATGGAGCTGATATGACAACTTTCCTGGCTCCACCCTACAAAGATGTGTCAAGATATTGGGGACCTTCATTCTAAAAAATAGAAGGGTATATTAACGGGAAGCTCCATCAACATGTCTGTACCTTCATGTGTGCTGATGCCTTATTTGTCGTAGTGAAAACCCCAGAGGACTCAACAACAAACTCGGCCCCAAAATCACCCCAAGGAATATCTGCCGGATCCCTATAGAAATAACCATAGATATACCGTCAGGTGATTAGAAGCCATGCAAAACCTTTCCAGATGTTATTTTGAATGTTATTACGTATGATTTTTCATAGGAGTACCTTTTACTTAAAATTTTTATTTGTTTCCCATTGATTTTCAAAGTGGAGTCATCCACAATGTCAATCGTGCCCTTAAAATTGCCATGTGTAGAATCAAACTTGAACATGTAAGCCTGCATAAAATGAAGAGTATATTAAAAGCAATTCTTCACATCTAAAAGCTTGATTAACCAAGCAATTCTAGAAAGTTGAAACTGAAAGAACTACCACTCAGCTTCGCTTCCACTGCAATAATCATCGTGAATCTTTTCAAAGAATAGCATAAAAGGCTTACATAGAAATGTTCTGAGCATCATAGCTCCTTCACCACATATAAATATATAACTCGGAAGGTACTATTGACAAAGAAAGTAAAATGATATAAATAGTTCTGATCAATCAGTCTTCAAGTTTATCCACAACCAAAAGAACAATGGATGGCAAAAAGGACTTATTCAAAAAAATATATTATAATAATTTGAAAGGATGCTAGATTGCCACTACCATGTACTTTGCATCAACAAAAGGGTCATTAACTGCAACTACATCAATATCATCCCTCGAGGTTGCAATCCGTAATACCAACCTTCCAATACGTCCAAAACCTGCATAGGTAACATTGGGGTTCACGTTTTTATTTGTGAGGACATTACTTTGTAAAATAAATAGCAAGGTCAAGGTCAAGTCTATATGATGTGAGAGGCCATGTTAAATGTTTGATTTTCAATAAATAATGACAACATTTGGTTCCCCCCCAACCCCAGAGAATATAAGAAATGAAGGTAATCAGTCACGAGTCTTCTTTTCAAAAGAATAAAAACAACAACGATTCATCTTCTCGTTTCTCAAACACTAATGTAGAACCTCCTCCTTT